CATGCCATCTAGAAATGAGACACAAAACCTGAATCACCTACAATTCATACAGTATTCTCAAGAAACAAGTGAGTTTCGCATTGTGACTTCAATAATTGAGTGTAAATGCACCAAAACATGCTGTATGTGATTCTTGCACAGCTTTGTTGTGATAAATGTTGCTTTTCATAAGCTTGTAAATAATGTCAAACAAAGGTAAAGTGAAAAGATTCACTGGTCCAATTAATTGAATTTTAAGGTTCTTAACTCTGAAGTTGCAACTACTTGCATTAATGATCCCAGCATGTTCTTTAACCATAAAAGACACTGGATATTAAAGTGCTATGAAGTATAAAGCTGTTTTATATACTTCCATGTTGAAAATACAAGCAAAGTACTCTTTCCCCAGATTTGCTCATTCACTTAGTCAGCTTTTTGAGGGAATGCTGCAGTGGCTGTTGGGTACAGGGTATGGAGTCCTCTCTAGTTTTTCTTGACTTTTTTGACAATATCCCAGCCAGAAAGGTAGCATGCACTGCTATGGAACTTGTCATGCATTTGGCCATTTACCTCAGGACAAGAGCACAGCTGGGTACAAACTCACCTGTTTTAGACCAGGCCACCTGTTCCCAACTAGAATATATCATGACTGCTGGGAGAAAGGCTTGATTTTTGATATCATATCTGTTGTGATTCCTGGCTTCCTATGACCAGACGCTGGCGTTAGAGCATTGAGACACTGTTCTCTCTGCCTGTATGTCAAACTGGGACAAATGAGACAAACTCAAACTTATCATATTCCAAGACTTGGATTCAGCCATACTGTGGAGCTCTGATCAAGTTTTGCATACTGCCTTCTGTCACCTTTTCTGTCCAGAGCAGCCATTTGAGAAAACTTTAACAAGCCAGTAGATGGCTCTAACATCTGTGAAATACAGAGCAGCTGAGGTGGTGCTAATCTCTACTCAGTGAAGATGACTCAGTCTTGATACTCTTCTAGGGAAGTATAGATGTTAGCACCCCTGGCCTCAAGGTTAGCAAAAAAGTTGACTCTGCTCGGTCAGGAAGGTTTAAATAATTTGGAAGGACCTACTTGGCTTTATCATGTGCTTCAGCAGGCACTACTGATGAATATCAAGTCTTTCAAACGCTGCAGTTATATTGTTATACCCATGTCTTCAGTCTGCATCTTGCGGTAGATATCTGTCCTCTGTTGCCTGGCTTACCACATTGCTTGAACAAGATGAGCTACAGTGAAATATTGGTCTGGGACACAAACCACTTCCCAGTGTAGGCACAGGAACACTTTTCTTGCTTCTGGGCAGCTTCTAAAATCTTAGGAAGAGAAAATAGCTGACAGAGGGGGGCCCAAAACTTACAGGAGAGAGCAATGATAACAGGGCTTTGGGTTTTAAGCAATGGACCAGCATTTTCTTTTGCTTCTTTTATGTATGCTTCTTCCATGTCTCTCTGCTGAGCATGATACCTGTTCATTTGTGTTCCGCATCTCTCTGCTGAGCCCTGTACTCTCTTATTTGCAACTGAAGATAGTGCCTACAGTTGGGTTGCATTGCTGGGAAGCTGTTTGATGGATGGTGAATGCATCTGTGAGGATGTAGCTGAGCCTGGGCCCTGGTTAGGGGATGGGCAGTTCAGAGTTTGGAAGTTTCCAGCCCATAGGTCTAGAGCAGAGAGGTGCTGCCATCTCTGAACTTCTCCACAGGGACCCACCAGCAGGAGACAGACACAAGGTGACCCAATGACAGACGTGGGCAATTATGTGAGAGTTGGATGTGTGTTTCCTAGAAGTCCATTCTCTCCCTGCTCTCTGTACTTTATAGCTAGAGAATTTTCTGTTTTTTTACCTGACTCTGTTATCTTCTTACAGATGTTTCACCCATGCTGTTTTGCAGAGAATCTGTGGAAATTTTAGGTAGGGTCATATATATGACCTTAAACTTTTGAGGTCTGTCATCTCCACGTAAAGAGAGAAACTCATAACTAGTGTGTTGCAAGATCTGGTTCGTCTCATATCACTGTGCTAAACCAGAACCTAAACCTGTATTATCTAAAATAATCATTTAGATGCAGGCTGGATCTTCCCAGCAATTTTCCCCATGTCTTGTCAGATTTGAATAGCCACAGATCTTTAACTTTCCTGCTGTGCTGTCTACAAGAGATGCCCTGATATCTATGGCTGTGCTGATGTTGGTTATAGCAGCCAAAAAAGCACAAGGTTGTTCCGACAGATCTGTTCTGATGGTGAATGTACTGGGGGGCCTCGGAAATCTTGTATGACCAATAAGAGTAAGCAAACCAAATTCTCAACATCTGAGTCTTTAGTGGAGAGCATGGAAAACAGTGACCACTTAATAACTCTGAGTTATCTTCTGTCCTCATTGGTATAATGGAAAGTTTTTATCAGAAGCAGAGACTGTTTGTTTACTCAGCATCATGTGGCCAACTTTCATCTTCTTTTCCCAGCTATAGATGGGCTGTTAAGCTCACACTTGGCAACAGTTAATGTGAAGATGTTTGACAGCCACTGGAGAATCTATTCAAGAGGGAAAATATTAGCTTTAGTAACAAGACTTTGTTATGTCCTATAAATATTTAGCAGTCCTGTAGTTCAGCAGAATAGCAGAGCTATTTATTCCCATTCTCGTCAGTTTGGTTCTTGAAGGACACAGAAAAAAAGCGATGTGCAAATCTTCAGTAGTGCATCACTGTAGCTATAGCAAGAAATGTCAATTCCATTCTGATTAACCCATGGAAGTACTGTTGAATTCAAGTGGTTAAGAAGTAGTCTCATTACCTACTGTATTTTCACTCTACCTGTGAATCACAGCAGAGATACCAGGCCTTGTTTAATCCCAGCTCTGTGCTGTCTCTGGCAGCGAGTGTTTGCTCAGATTTTCATCCAGCATTAAAAGCTGGGCCAAGCTATGGCTGAGTTCCTGAACATTTTGTCGTAGCTGGTTGGGTGGGATTGTGTATATCAGCTATTGGGTAAAAGACTCAGGATGTCCATAAAAACTTTCTGTGGGGGTGAAGAGTAGAAAAGAAGATCCTATCAACCCCCAAGTGAGTTTGCTGGTTAAAGGTACAGAAACTACAGCAGAATCCACCAGAGACTGAAGCTTCCAGCAGGTGTCCCATCTCAGCAGCCCAGGGCTGGGGCTGGCTCCCCTAGCTTGACCATGCTGCACGGTGCCAGCCTTAAGCTGTAACTGGAGACAGCTGCTGCTTTGGCAACTTAACAGCACCTCTCATCTCTATCAGATGTCATCAATGTGCACTGAGAAAAAAAAAGCCGTGAGGTCTGTGTGAAGGTGGAACACCTCTGTGACAGCAGATTTTAAACTCTAAGATCATGGTTTCCACTGATTTCCAAAGTCTGGCTTTGAAGCATTTTCCCTTCCTTCCCATTGCGCTGCAGCACGCCTTTCCAGTGCACACACACAGTGTGTGTGCTGCAGCAGCACCTTCGGCTAGGATTACAGCACGCTGCCACTGAATAAATACATTCTGGTATTTGCCAAGAGCATTTAGGCCAGAGCGTGGGAGGGGTAGTGGAAGAACAGATGGAGTGTCCTGAGCAGGCTGGGGGCAGAGATCTGCAGGGTGAGTGCAGAGCTGCAGGGCCTGTGAGTGCCGTCTGGTTCAGTACCGTAATCAAAAACTGATAAAGGCACTTTGAGTTTTCTTCCTTCATGTGACCCAAGCATGGATTTGAAGGAGTGAGAAGCGCAGCTGGGGCTGAATTGCAGGCTTTTATTGCCTCTCTTGTCTTCAAGAGCTGCCCCGTCCCTTCCCCTTCTTGATGCACTATGCTCTAAGTCCAGCAGACAGCTGCATTCAGCTCTGTGGTTTTAACTTACCTTCCCCCCTGTTCTTATGGTCAAGCAGTGTTTTTCTCAATTTGTACCTTAGTGCAAACAGTTCCATGAGGACCTGAAAGGATCAGATCAATAGAGAGGTGTGGTGCTATTGCAGGCAGTGGACACCAAATTTCCTTTTCTGTACTGGGAGTCATTAGAGGAAGGTATTCTGGTCCAAGCAGCTACATTCAGAAGACCATTGAAGGAATTTTTTGTTAACAGGCTACTGCAGAGATGTTGTACTTTTTTCCTGTTACTGCAGATGTGTTTCTTGTAAGGAACAGATAGAATGTTAAGGACTCAGAAGTTGCCTCGGTGTGTTTGGATGCTTTCAGTGATGGCGAGCAAAGGACATTTTTTTCATTAAGTATTTAATAAGAAACATAATGGCCTAAAGTACTCCCTGATATCACACAGATTGATGGGGTCTCTGTTGGAGCAGGCTGTGATGGCCACATGAGAATGTGGCTTTCTTCAGACAGAATTACCTACCACAGGCACAGGGCAGGTCCTTCTGTATTCTTTCAGGCTTCATTTTATAGGGACATGCTGCATAACGTGAGGACATCAGTGAGGACATCAGATCTCTGAACTGAAACAGCATCACTGGCTACTCTGCACTTGAGGCTGAGCTCTGACAAAGATCGCGTGCTGAAACAGAGCCCATCCCAAGGCTACAGTTCAGGAGTGGGTATTGAATCGCTCAAAGCTTGCAGCTGCAGCCTCCCCAAGTCTCAATTTGTGTTTTTCCGGCTTTGATTTCATTTTGAATTCTTTTTCTGAGGACTTATAAAAATAGTTTTTTAATAGCAGCAGCAGCCACAGCCAGCTCTAAACATGATTAGTTTATATGTTAAGTCCTTTCTGAGTTCTCAGGGGAAGCAGACAACACAAGGTCTCTCTCACTTGGGCTTTTTTAGAAATGCATGAAATTCTACTATTCCCACTTATTTATTTTTAGTCTGACAATTCCACTAAATCAAGAGCAAAGATTTCTGTCCCACCCTCGCCTTTTTTCATGTCTTGAAATCGGCTTTAATAAAAATCATCTGCTGGAAGCTGCAGCTGAGAGCAGCTGAGCTGCCACAGCCGGAGCCTCCTTAGTGGACCCCTATGATGTCAGGATGCATCGAGATGAGCGGAGAGGAGGATAGGAATCCAGCTCAGTCCTCAGACAGCGCTACCAGGTACCACTGCCCTGCCAGCAGCTACAGAGCGCTCAGCCCGTTTCCTCCCAGCACAGCAGAGCCCCTGGCTCTCCCTCCTACCTGCCTGCATGAGGACCCAGCAGTGCCCCAGTGAGTCCAGCGGGGCACACAGTGGAGAAAACTGCAGCAGCAGTGGAAGCTCTGGGCTCTCTCCAGGTTCGGATTCGGACAGCAGTGGGGTGGTGTGCGGTGGTGGTGGGATGAGAGGTGTCCTGTCCAGGTACTGGAGCTTGGAGAGTCTTCACTCTGCCACAGGTAAGAGCTGCTTCCTTTTTTTTGTTTTTAATGCTATTGCACTGACCTTGAGAAACCAAATGAAGCCTTCTGGAAAAGAGTATGCCATTGGGAAGCGCAGTCTGTGAGTCATGAGAAATTAAAAAAAATAATAACAAAGTTGTTTGCTAGCTGACCCCTCTGCAGACTTGCAACTGAAGCAGAGCAACACCGAAATACTTCTTAGGTCAGAAGGCAAGAAACATTTTCTTCATGGCTTTGGAAATAGTGTTTAGGCTTCTACCTGATCAAAGCTTAACAGCATTTCATATTTCAGCTTAAATGTATAGAGCCCAGCATCAGAGCTGACCCTTCTGTGTGAATGCTAGCAGAGAGTATTGCTGCCTTCGGATCCAAGTGAGGTGCTGTGCAGCACAGGAGGGCTGAGGGCATTTGCACTGCTGCGTGCAGAGAGAAGCAAAGGAGGTTCCCTGAGCCAGCTGTTTTAGTTCTGTTTGTATTTTCCTGTCCTTGGTTTAAATCATTTTTGCACCAGGGATTTTGGAAATACGTTCACACAGCCTGCGAATGTTCTCTCTTGTCTGCATCCAACATCCTAGTTGTCAGTAACTGATGTGCATTCTTAGGGTGTGGGTGCTAGAACCCCAAGCATGGGAAGGAAGCTTTCTCATTCCCAGCTGATACTGGCAGAGGAGCTTGGCAACGATTTTAGTGGCCAGAGATCACTGAGCTGTTCAGTTTGTTGCTTGCTCATTGCAGTTCAGAGAGATTTTTTAGCAGAGCTGCATTAAATGAAATGAAATTCACAGTCTGATAGTGGTAGGACAACAGGGAATGGCTTGAAAGTGAAAGAGGGAGATTTAGGTTAGATGTTAGGGGGAAATTTTCTACTCAGAAGGGATGAGGTCCTGGCACTGCTGTCTGGAGCTGCCCCATCCCTGGAGATGCACAGGGCCACACTGGATGGAATTATGGGCAGCCTGATTTAGGGGTTGGCAACCCTGCCCATGGCAGAGGGTTGGAGGGGTTCAAGGTCCCCTCCAACTTAAGCCATTCTGTGATGAATTAGTTTCTCTCTCAGATAAATTCACATGAGTGCCTTTGAGGCCACCAGTGTGTGCCATTTCCTTCATAGAAATACTGGATGCTTCCAGCTAGAGGCAAGGCTTAGTAAGGGTTTTAGGTGTAGTTCAGTGTAATCCACTGTAGCAGCACATTCTTCTAATTAATGAAAACTCTTATAGCTGCACCTACTACTGCACATTTTAGGCTGTTTAATACAGATTCCATTGCTGCTTTGGAGTCCTCAGCTGAAGTGCAAGGAACTGCAGCAGGGTGGCCGGCCTGACTTCCTAACCCCACACCAGAGCTTCCAGGTGCTCAAGAAACTCAAAACACCTATTGTGGTGTCCTGAGAAACCAAGGCCAGGAAAAAAAGGTCAGCAGGGTGAGATCAGACCGTTGGCTCTCTGTTTTGGGGAAAGATCTGTTCTGGGAATGCAAATGATGCAGCTCTGAGTCTTGGCAGCATCTGCTGACTCCTTTTCTCCTGTACCTGGAAATGTAAATAACTCCCAGCATAGCTCTGACATTGGCATAAAGTAGCCCTGGCACTGGAGCCTTTTAAAAGTGTTTGAGAATTGCATATAGGGCAATAGCTTTAGCTTCAGTTACCTCTGTCTTAGAGGATTTGCTGCCAGCTGTCCTCCACGGATGCACTTTTGGGCTTAATCAGGTCAGTTGCTATAAGTGATGTACAGTGATAAAAATGATGTGAGGCTGATAACAAAAGCAAACTTTGCAGCTGAGCTTCTTTTCCTAAAAGACCTTCTGTTTCTACAGCCTTCTTGTTCCCAAGGATGTGGGGCACGGAGTCATGTAGTGGTGCTGCATGCATTTAGCACGTAATGTAGAGATAAGAAGAGATGGAAGGATATAAGAGAAACCAAATCAAGTTTCATAGTTATGATATCGATATATCAATACATTAAAAAAAGTACTACAGAATCCTTGCTACCTCAAAAATGCTATGGCTGGTGAGCATCTTGTCACATATGAATGATGCCTGAGTGGGTTACCTCTAGATATGAATAATACTTGTGTCAGAGCAGTGCATCTCCCAGAAGAACTTACAGCAGTAGCCAAAATGCATGGCCCTTTCCAAGATGTCTCCTCACCTGAACCAGGGAAGCACAGGAATCTTCAGCCTCCCAGTTTGTTTGGCATCAGGAATTCAGGGAGAAGGTCTGAAGTGTCTGCATCACAAACTGCCCAAACTGCTGTCTTTTATAAAGCTGTGAGATGAGTCGGTCCCTGCTTTCAGTTTATTTCTAAGGGGTTCTGAATTTTCAGGAGTGCCCTGAGGCTGGCAGGGGAACTTGCCAGGGTGCTTGGTGGTGATTTTTCCCCCCATTTTGAACACAAACTTGTCTAGAGGGATCTTCATACTGAGATTGTTCTTCTCTGATGCTTCAGAGGAAGAAACTGGGCAGTTGTAACGTGGAGGTAAAAGGGAGGGAGGAGGTCTTCAGTACAACTGGAACACAGTAGTCTGAGTTTCTTGTGCATAATTTACATTTCAAGAGTGAAAAGACAGAATATGTGTGTTTACACAGAAATATGTTTGAGAATGTAAGTCCTCAGAAATACGAGCTGACATCTCTTGCACAGAAAAGATGGGTGGTGTTCTCCCAAATTCACAAGGGGGGAAAGTGCAGTTTTCATTCAGTCCTACTCTGCAATCAGTAATGGAGTACAATTTCTTTTGCTTTGAAATGGACTTTTTGGTAATGCACTGATCAATAAAGTAAGTTATAGGAGACAAAGAAATAAGAAAAGATCTGTTCATGCAACTCAAATGCCATTTGGAGAAAAAAAAAAAAAAGCAAAAAAAAAAAAAGACTGTATTGTATGAAGTGAGAGAATCTTTTTTTTTTTTTTTTTTAATGCCAGTCAATGGCATTTTTGGTCTAAATGTCAATATATGTTACATTACATGGGAGAGTCCTTCTCCCTGCAGCCATATATAATCATGAAAAGAGGGAATGCTTTGCAGTTCTCCTGAGCTCTCCATTTGAGGATGCCAGAGGACTTCATAAAAGTTAATAACCCTTAGATAGGGCCCAAGAGGCTTCCAGAATTTGATTTAGAGTAGAAGAGGTGTGGGTCATTTATCACTTGGGACAGTAGCCTTGCTGTTTAAATACCTGCCTTTAAATACTTGTGGGCAGTTTCTGAATGTATGTATTCCTATGCAGTGCTCCATTGAGAAAATGAGTGGGAGCTCTGGTTGCTCAGCAGTTCTGAAAAGAGTCATCCAAATCAAAGGTCAGTGGTGACAGTGCTCCAGCAAGTGACTCAGTGCCACTCTGGGCACTCGACTCCGTTTCCGAGGCCAGGCACCAAATCCCAGTGCTCACTTGGTATCCCAGGCTCACGCTGCATACATCCCCTCAGCCCTGTTGTACAGCCCTGCTGAAAACTTGTTTCCTTTAGAGTATTTCCAGAATCGAGCTTGTGAGAACATCTCTGTTTTTCCAGCTCCTTTGTTCCTAGTCCAAATCCAACATCATTTATAGTCTGTTTATTATCTTGCTTGTCCAAGCTGAGAAGAACTGAAAGAGCATAGAAAGGTGGGGACAGAGGGGGGTCACAGCTGGTAAGCTGGTGGTGGCTGAAGTTTCTGTGTCTTTGTGAATATGCAGCAGTTGTATGGACTGTGCTTCAGTGCTCCTCTGCTCCGTTTTATCTCCCTAAAAGCGGATGTGCTCATCTGCTGCTCTTGGGAATACAGCCTTAAAACCACAAGAAAACGAAGCATGGGCAGGGAGTTATGTTTTCATATGGAACTTAAACATAACCAAACACAAGTCTCCTCCAAATTAGTGTTTTTAAGGCATACATTTCATTATTATTGCTGATGAGGGAGTCAGCAACAGAGCTGTCGCAAATGGTTTGCAACTTTCTCGTTTGGAAGGAGTTTTTCTTTTAAGCTTGCTTTTTTTCCCCTTGTCCTTCCCCTAGTCCTGCCTGTGGGCACTGATGTCTGCAGCTGTGTCCATGGGCTGTGGTGCATAATTCAGTGCCTTGTCTTTCTCCAGAGTCACCTAGAATGCAGGAGCTAAAGAGGTCACACAGTGGGAGACTGGGAGACTGATTTAAGGTTCACAGTGTTTCAGAATTCTTCCAAAAACCAAATAATAATAATAATAATAATAATCCTGAAAGCATGCACTGTAGCATGTCGATCATGGTGATGTTATATTTCAACTCAGAGATACAGCTGGGTTCATGGATTGTGTTGTAGCATGACCAACGTGTTCCACCTCACCCAATATACTTCTGCTGTCACCTGCACAAACAATTTCCACTCATCTTCTGAACAATGATTTTTTATTGTTTTTAAGTATGGTGATTCATTTCTAATGGCAACCAATGCAGGTAGGTAAACCTCAGGTAGATGGTGAATGGGCAACCTGGTCTAGTATTAAACGGGGAGGTTGGTGGCCCTGCCTGTGGCAGGGGAGATGGGGATTTGTGTTCCTTGAGGCCCCTTCCAACCCAGGCCATTCTGTGATTCTGTAAATTAGAGGAAGAATTGCAGTATTAATGTTCCTTGGCTGAACTAATGAGCCAACCTAAGAATTAAGTAGAAGTTTCTTATTTGAAAAATGCTGCTTCCAAATGATGTGTTGTGTTGCCAGGCTGTGACTGGTCAAATAGTGAGGGCATCTAACCACCATCGTAGAGCTTGAGTTCAGTCCAGTGGATGCAAACTCAGTAAATGCTGACTGTCTGTAAACGTGGCCACCTAATACATTCAGTACACTTACAGAAGTATATTTTTCAGTGCAAAATGTTTTCCAGCTTCATGATAGAAAATAAACTTATTCAGATAGTGTTAATGTGGGAAGAAAATCACATTTCTATTCCTCTGTGTGCAACAGAACTGCCTTATGTCAGTGCCATTATTTCGTTGTTCTAATTATGCTTTAATATACTGAGTGGTTTCTTTTTTCAGT